TTACCTCTGCTCCTTTTTCTTCCTAGTTTTAACTTCCAGAAAAAAAACAACAAAAGAACTTTAATACCCAATTGAATATAGTACATAAGTGTCAATGACAAAAGTGTGGTTTCTCAAGGATTGTCAAGAGTGACATAGTGAAGGGTTTAATTTGAACTGTATTGGAGCAGTGTTATGATGGTGTTAGGATGTGGCATAAGTTCCAAGTTACTCGTATGAAGAGCCTTGCAACCTTCCCTCACACCTTGTGGATTCTCTGGTCTAAGGTAGGCGGAATCTTTCATCTTTGTAGTTGAGTTAATGCTTTGTTACAGATTCATCAAATGCTTTGCATTTTTGTCTTGTGGTTTGGGGAACTTAGTCTGTCCACAAAATGCGCTTTCTCTACATCATTGGGAAAATTGTAACTGTTGTAGAATTAAAATTTAAAAATTTTCAAAAATTGAAGAAAATACATTTTGTTCACAGACTAGGTCTATCAGATACTTACTGGTGATTGGCTAGTCTCAGAAAATTACAAAAGAACTTTGAAAAAGGCTTGTGTGTATCTTGTTATAATATTTTCTTGAACATAGACATAGACATTAATTTCTTTAATGAAAATTGACTAAATCGAATTTCATGTGTCAGTTCATGATTGAGTGTACAGATACACTGTGCTGATTTTAGTTATGCATGGATTTCTGTATACTTCTGAGAATGTCATTCAAAGTTTACATAAATGAAAGACCGAAAAATTCTACATTGTTTTTATGAATAATAACTATTCCGCAATAAAAATATAAGTGAAGTGAACATGTTTTCCTTTCTGATGGTGTCAAGTGCTATGCATGAAAGTTCACTTTGGCAAATTCTGTTCATTTCAGTGAGGAAGTAGCTATGCCAGAGGGATTGCTTTCTTCTTTAGTTTTTTCTGGTTATCATAAATTTAACATGGTGCTTCTTATTGGAGTAGACATTAAACAAATTGTTTAAATGGTTTAATTTGAAATTTACCATTTCCAGTTTTCATTACCAGTCTTTATTAAAATGAAAGTGTATACTCCAGTAAGAGTGCCAAAATAAAATGTTTGCTTGAATTTTTTTTATTATTATTTTTTTTTTTTTTTTTGTTACAACTTTGTCTTTTCTAACAGGTGATGATGATGATGATGATGATGGTGGTTGTTTTACGGCTACTGCGAAGGGTTTCATGATGCTATGTGATGACTTCTTGGGATCCAGTATTGTGTATGGTGATGGAAGGTTTGGGATTAAAAAACCAGGATATAAAGATCCAAAGGAGTACTCACTTCTAATTTGCATTAAAGGTTGGGCTGTTTCAAGAGTTGGTATGAAAAGGTGTTCATTCTCAAAATGATTGTGCATTGTCCAAAATGATGCAAAGCATGATACCATGAATCTTACGTTCTATGTTTTTGCATAATAAGGGAGTAATAGGTTTACTGTCACTAAAGAATGTGCTTGCTTCAGATGCATGCTCTGTCTGTGTGCTATTACAGTTTTACTTGGAGAAAAGGATTAGTGGGTTCTCCTTTGACTTTTCTGGTGCTTATGAGAAATTTCATGGAAAACTGTTCAGCATGATATGAAGGGGGTGGTTAAGTACAGCAGATATGTTGGTAATGTAACAAGTATGTTGAACTTGAAAATAAAATGCGGACAAACATAACTTAGTGCTGTTTAGAAGGATTTGTTAACTTCCGTTAGTTGCTGACTCTTTCTTTATCTTTAATGTGCATAATTAATTTCGAATTATGGGTCTTTGTTTGCGCAAGTTATACGCCTTTCTTTATTTACATTTATTATAAGGAAATTTTGCTCTTTTTAATCAGATGGCAACTAATAATTGATGTGAAAAATTAAAACATTCATAGAACTTTACTACGAGAAGACGATGCAAAATAATAAGAAAAGATAACATTGCCAAGAAAGAAAGCAATGACTTATGACTGTTTTTCTTGTAAAATTCAAGCATGAACTTTTTTTCATATGGAAAGATAATTGTAAAAGACAAGTCATTTTTTTTAATGTCTTCTTTACTTAGCCAAGCCCCAAGAGAACCTTTGAAGATAGCTTTCAACATTTATTTTTTTTATTATTATTATTTTTTAATACATATATTTCAATTATTTAAATGAAAAATAATCTTCAATGTTCTCTCTGATATTATTAAAACGCTATTTTTTAAATTGCATACTTTTGATAATTTTCTTGCCTCCTTTTTTCTCCCAGATTGGATTATTAATGATTATAATTTAAAGAGATTTCTTGTTCTCTTGATTAGGTGGAGCTATTATGCCTCCAATTCCATTTGGACCAACAACAGCCTTTGCACCATTCGCTCCAGCTCCAGCGCAATTGATTCCAACTGCAACACTGACTCATGGAGCACCTCAAGTGACACCACGACATACGTTCCATGCAGCGTACCCACCTATACTTTATTGGCCTTACCCGTCGCCACCTGTAAGCCCAACGTCTTATTATGGAGGTCCGATGCCGCCTGTGCCTCCAGTTCCACAGCCGCCGCATTTGACGTCGGTAATCATGCAAGGTCTTTTTTTATCAATGAATGCTCCTGACATGTATAAAAGTCCTCTTCTCAATATGCATGACAATGTTAATCTACCAAGTTAGAGATAATGTTTATTATTATTTTTTTTTTTATTTATTTGTGTTTATGCAAATATTTTCTTTAGATTTCCAAAAATTATTTTCCAATTTTACTGCTGAGTTTCAATGCTTTCATTATATTTAAAATTGCTACTTTTCATGTTAAATTCAGAGAGAAATCTTGAAAGGTGTGAATAAGTATATGTTGGAAAATAATGTTGAAGAGATAAAGCGATTAGAATTCATGGTGCATTATTCCAATATTATATTAATAAGATTCCTGGTAAGGTCTAATAATTAAATAAATAAAAGGAGTTGTCTGGTATTAAATATATTTTTAAACTTAAGATCTTTTCGATTGCATAGCGATCATGATCAGAGCTATCTTGCAGCTTGCAAGAAAATTTCATTTTTCTGCCCAGTCACTGCAAGGTAGCTCTGATGAACATCACTGTGTAATTGAAAAGATCTTATTTTCAAGTATATATTTGATACCGATCAACCTTTTATTTATTTCATTCAATATTTTCGTTGAAAGAAATTAAAGTGTCTGAAAAATGAAGTAGAACATGGTGGGTAGGATGGGAAAGATTTGGGGCAGGACAGGGTGAATGAAGGCAAAGATACAAAGTATATGAATTCACTCTGATTCGTCTAATAGAGGCTTCTGATTCATTTACTTTGTGTCTCTGCCTTCACTCACCCTGTCTTACCCCAAATCTTTTCCATCCTACCCGCCATGATCAGTACTTCTCTCTTAACCCTGCCCGTTGGTCTTCATCATGTCTGCCAATTCCACCTCATTCTGCATGACCTGCCCCATCCACTGTTTGCTTTGACTATCATTGCTATGTGCAGATGTAAACACTTGTATTGTTGCATACTCCTGGCAAACTTTCAGTAACACTTTTGACCTTCATAACTTGATTGCGCTAATGAAATGCATTTTCAAGAACATTTTATAAGCTTACAGGAACAGGAATAATTTTTATGAAATTTCATGCAGATGGTTATAATGATAATGATAACGTAGCCCAAGTTATTCCTGACAAAGCACACTACCTTCTAATTAAAACTTTTGTAACTGATGTAACACTTGTTTGCAGGATATTTTACTTCAGTCCAAGCTGTCCATCAACTTCCATTTTGAATCAGAATGTATCTTTATTTTTCAACTTAGTTTATTTATTCAAACCATTTTAAATTGATATTTATTTATTACAAAATAAATATTATATAGTAGCAATATATACGGTTTAGATATTTTTCTACATTCAGTACAATTGTCTGCTTATTGAGAGAGACTAATGGTGTATACTATGTACTCTTATCCAATGCAAAAATTGTTAGAGACTATTGTAATGCTGCATTTAGTTTATTAGATTTGGGACTTGGTCTAGCTTTTTGTTTGATGTGTATATGCTTCATTATGTATTGCATGCGGGACTATGGTCTTAGATTTCATTAATGACTCCAATCTTTTCTCTCTTTTTGGAATAAATGTTAGATTTTTCTTTCCTTTCTTTTCTATCTGAAAATTTATATCTCGTAAACTGTGCATGAAGTAATAAATTTTCTCATATTGCCTTTTGCAGTGGAGCCTCGATTATCTGAATTCTGGTCAGCCCAACATTCACAATATCACCAGTAAGTTTTATTTTTTAATGATGTCTGTAATGTCATCATTCCATGAAATACCATGAAATTTCAAGTATGTTTCAAACGGCAAGATAATTGAAGCTCCATAGAGAGTTAACTATTATGCCTGAAACCTGCATTTCTCTCTCTCTCTCTCTTTTTTTCATGTTATTTATTGAAATGGTTTCTGCACTTAAGGTGTTCTTCTCTTGCAAGGGGGTGGGGTGAACAATTGTTCAATCATTTTTTTGTTTGTGTTGAATTAATTATGAAGATTTTTATTTATTTTTTTGACTACTTTATTTCATTTATTCGTAATACATTACTGTAATGAATTTTCGACTTGAAAGGATGTTGAGCATCTTCATTTACTATTTATTAAGAATGAATAATTCTCATTCAAATGAGCCTCATTAAAAAGAGAGGATTTGACGGGCCATAAAACATAAGTCACAAAAAACAAAGGCAAATCAATGAACTTTACAGTGTCTGTATCCTCAAATCAATTCTGTCTCATATTTAATTGTTCTGTATTTTTAGTATGTAATATTGACTCTAATCAAAGTCCTGTGGAGTTCTTTTATCTTTTAATATTGAAAGATGAAATTAAATTTCTTTCAAATTGATTGTGGAGGGGGGGAGGTTAGAGAGAGAATGTGTTTATTTTAGATACTTCTAATTTAGAGTGGTTTTGTTCCATTTAAATTCAGAATTTAATTACACTGTAACTCCTTTACCTGTTTCAGCTAATGCTGGATTGCATTCAGCCGCAGCGTAATGGTGAAGGATGTCCTTTAAATGAAACTTACGTTCCATACCATCCTTCAATTGAAGTTGAGAGAATGGATAAAAATTGTCAAAATATTGCTAATAGGTACATTGAAATTGAACTTCATTTGGCTAATTAGATTGAGGAAAGCGAGTGGAATGTAACAGAATTACCTATAATTCAGTTTTTTTTTATGTTCAGAATATTCAAGTAGTGTTTTGAGAAACAGAATGAAATTTCATTTGAAAGAAAGATTGTAACTTTAGAGAGATAATTAGTAAAGTACTTGAAATGTAACAGAAGAATGACGAATTAAAATGTTTTATACTTGGATAGTTCCTACCCGTGCTATATGTATTGCAGTTGTTCTGGGTAGAACAAAAAAAAAGTGATATATGGATATGTGTATTGATGCTCCTAAAATGTGTCCAACACATCATCCAATTAACTTGTCAGTTTCTCTTCAATTTTTGATGAGCATTAAGGCTCAGAATATCAATATAACAGTATATTAAATAAGCGAAGTCTAGTAGTTTGTAGCTTTTAATATGTTAAACACATTTATTTATGTTTTTTGTAAAGAATTATGTGCACTTGATATTCATTGCATAATAATTCATAGTAAAAATATTATGCTTAAAGTCAGTTGAAGAGTGAAAGATTTTGCATCTTGTGGTGCTGTAGCTTTATTCAAGAAGTTTTATTGCTATCTAAAAGTTGCCTTATGTATTGATGCACAAGTGCAATTCATAAGGTACAATGTTGTGAATCAAACATGTGAACATTATAGAAAAAGTGAATAATGCTGTGTAGATGAATATAATATTGATTTGTGTGTGCTTATAGCAAATGAAGTTCATTAGTTAATTAATTTTACTCATTGAGGTGTACATAATTTTTCTTCAGAATTTGAGAAGTGCAGTATTGTTGTACTGTCAAGAGATGCTAATATATTTTAATAAGATATGAAAAAGCATTAATATATGCTTCATTGTTACTTATTACTATTTAAGTATGAAAACGAATTACATTTCAAGTGAAATTGTACGTTATAATGTAGTTCTTTGGTATGCCCTATAGTTCAATTTATTGCAAGAGAATATTTATATTTTATTGATCATATAATTTTTGTATTCTGAAAAATGCCTGCTATTGCTGTTAGAATAGTTTTCATTAATTAGATATAATTTTAATAATTGTTGACATGTTTTTTATATATTTTGCACAAGGATTTTTCCTTGCATTAGTTTTCCTTTCATTTTCCTTTTGTACTTAAGTTGTGCCTGTGTTTAAGCAAGTGTGTGAAGTGGTTTTCATGAATTGATTAAACCATTTAGAACATTTACTTTCTATGTTAAATACATTCATATTAAGAGTATGCAGGTATTGCTTTTTATATGTGTACATATATTGTAACACTGACAACAAATATCACAAGTGTCTTCCATATTGGGTTAAATTGATATAATTGTATGTCTTAGAATTTCTTTGTGGCCAACAAAATAGCCATTTAATTTTAGTTTCCTCTATCAGTTGATTTTTACAGATCACTCAGCTTTGAAGCAAATTTTCAGATTTCATCCGAAGTTTCATTACAGGATTTACTTTTAAACATATTAAAGCAAAATGGTTGTTGTTGATTTGTGTCAAATCCTATTGGTTAAGTCTTTGAGTCACATGCCTACTCTGCAACTCATTCATCTACTTCTCTAATTCCGTATCTTGTCATAGATCATTGTTTATATATAAGAGAATATGAATTGATTTTAGATTTAATGTTGTCAGATATTTGTTTATTGATTTTGAAAATCTATTATTTTTCTATTGTGAAGATTTTTTTCATGAATTTTCATGTATATCATAATTATATATTAATAAGTTGGCTTTATTTAGAAGGCTTGTGTGAATTTGAAATTCAAATTCATAGAGTTAATATTTCCAGTGAAAATCAAGCCCCTTTGTTGCATGAATTGCTGAAAGTTCACAGATAAAATGCGTTTCTGAATGCTAATGTGTATCAAATAAGCAAGCAGTTCAAAATTGCCAACACATGTTCGATACTGCAGCGTTTTACAGAACTTGGAATGTATGTAATTTGCTTCCAATAAGCATACTGCTTTGATGTTCTTATATTTCTCAATGTCAGACTATCAACATTTTTAAAAGTCTGAGTGCACAATTATTGCATACTCAAAGGACATAGTTGCTACTTTCCTTGTTAATATTTCTCTCTAGGGCAACTTGCTGTTTTAATTTCATTAGCTTCTAAACATTTATCACAAAAGGGTGCTAACATCAGTTTTAAGGTGCTTTCTCACAAAGCAGTGAACAAACAATAATTGTTAAATTTAATTAACCCTCAGTGATAAAATTGTTATCGTTCCTATCAGAGCAGATTGATCTTTGATAAAATATTCAGTAAGTTTGGTAGTCAAATACATTAGCAAATATATTTGTATTGTGTAAGCTCTGTGACTTGTCACTACATTTACTCAATCCATTAACTGTTAAGTATAACATCGTGCATACTTCATGCGCATGTGTTTAGGTCTGACTTGCTAATCAGCAAAATTCATGTTGAGACAAAATATCAGGATTAAAGACTGTTGAGAGGCAAGTTGCAAATAATTATTTTAATATTAAAATAGCAACGAAAAAAATGTATAGATTAAATGATACTCTTGTTCAGATTTTTATTTTAAAATCGTGCATGATCTGTATATATATGTATGTGCATGTGTGAGTGTGTTTGTCATAGAATGTTATATTGTGATGTGTAGAAATGTAAGATTGAAATTATTAAATGTTGTTAATGAGATACATCTACACAATGATGCAGGATTATAGAAAATGTCTAATGATACTGAATTTACTTTCCAAGTATGCTTTAATTTGTTTTCAATCTTAGTTGTTGTTTAAAATGTTTATTTTTATCTGATGGAAAAATAACTTAACTGTCAGCCTGACAGTTAACTTGGATTGCCCAATTAATAATATTATGTATTAAGAATATCAATATATAGATATATATTTTACAACTAGTGAATTATGTTTCATGATTTTGAGATTTATGCCTCACAAATTACAAAAAATGTATCCCAAATGAAATATACAATCATATTTATTGTTGCATACTTTTATATTATTATATATTCCTAGTTGTTCACATCATAAACATAATTAAAAAATGTGTTGGTTTTGAAGTATCTTGCCACAGTGTACTTTCAAATTTACAAATCTTCTGACTGGAATGGAGATATCGTAGATATTCTCTTTCGCATGGAATTAATAAAAAATCTTGTCAGAGATTATATACTTTCTTATGAGATCCATTTGTGGAAGTATTCATTATATCAATGTATGTTTATTCATTACTTAGTCCAGTAAAACATATTCTAGTATTTGTAGGTTAGTGAATGTTCATAATGCATGCTACAAAATATATAAAATTCTTAAAAAAAATAAAAAAAAGCACGAATACTGCATAAGAAAGTATCTTCTCTGACATTGCATTTCCATTTGCAATGGTTTCTTGCCCATTTCTGATACTATGTTACAAACAAAATCTGTAGGATTCACTAAGTATGAATGATTCAAGTTAAGATATGTAGTAATTTTAAGGTGCATTTACCCATAATTGTTTGAATGTGCTGAAATTGCCTACTCATATCAACCACTACATTAAATACTGATGTATCAAAACTGTGATGTTAATTCCCACTTTGTGATGTGTTCAAGTTCAGTATTTATGCACAACACAATCAGTGAGCAATTGAAAGGCAGAAAACTCGTGAACCCAAAGACACATTAGCTAGTCATGAAGTCTGCTTGAACGCTTGGGAATTCCAGAGTGTTTTGAAGTGTGTGTGAAATGATTGACAGAACATGTAAGAAAATGAAATTTAAGAATATGTCCCCTAAAAAAGACTTCTGGAAATACTTGATTTTGTGTCTTGATGAACATCTACTGAACGAACGTTACTAGCGTGTTCTTAACTTGAATCACAAGAGCATGTAGTCATTAATTTTGTACTTCATTATGTGCTTCAGTAGTTTGTAGTTGTTTGTAAGTTGAAAAGAAAACAGATATTTTTAATTTCATTGTTTCAAAACTTCTGTTGACCAATCGGAGGTCTTGAGATTCATCCTGATGTATGTTTCGACATTTCTCTTATAGCCTTGATGTATAAAGGCACAGTAATGAACATGTGCAATATTATGTTATTCTTTACCTAGTTATAATATTAACAATTTGTTAATTACTAAAGAAAATACCATGTAAACTGTGTTTAGTGTGCGTGTTAAATTTCATAGTTTTTATAAATCTAGATTGTTTCTACAGAATATGCGAATAAAATATTAGAGATAAAAAATGCAGAATAGCAAGAAGTAATTAAATGTCATCAGCCCTTCCTATTTGACGAATTTAAATTTTTCTTTTCATAGGATAAATTTTTGTGAAAATAAATCTAGCGTTAATTTTCACCTCATTACTACTGAAATGTATTGCAAAGCCATTTATTTCAAATACAAAATATTTATGTTACGTTGTGTATGAAACTAAAATTTTTAAGTAACCTTTCATTTATTAATAGTTAATTGTATAGTTTCCACTGAAGTTTTTTCTCATCCTGAGGTCCATTACACTGATATTACTTACCAAAAATTTGTGAAAAAAAAAAATGTTTGAGAATACATTTTTCCTTTTCAATGTTATTTCAAGTAAGATTGCAATATACTTATGAAGATACCTGCAAATCAAATATGGAATTAATTTTTGACTCTTAAATTAAATGTTATCAAAAAAGTCATAGTGAAATGGCAAGATATTATGTGAAGACACAAGAAAAGACGGGGAAGTGAGCTAGAAGTGGTGAACTTTTAGCATAATGCTGTGACATGCAACAACCAGTGAATATCAATTAAGCTCATACTTTCTTTATTTTCTATTCTCAGGAAATTTATTTTGTGGCTCATATTTAAAGGCTTCTGAAAAACTAGTGGGAATGCACAGGATTCCAAAACGTTTCCTCAGAACTGCTATGAATTGCTTATCTTGGACTGTCATGAATACTAATTATGCTGAAAATGACAACTTTTCTCTATATATTGGAAAAATGTACTGCCTGTAAACAGACTGATGCCAACACACAAAGACAGTTGTTTAGGAAACTACCAACAAATTTTGTAAGTTCAGTTTATCTGATCACTAAAACCACAGTTACATCTAATGTACCCTGGAAAATCTCTCATACTTTAACGAAGTCATGTTTTCAAGAAATAAAATAAAATAAAAAATCTATGAAAAATTGTATCTCACATTTTTTAAAAGTCTAAAATAAAGGAGTAAATTACACCTAGAAAAAAATATCAGGTTCTATAATATTGGATATATAAGACAGACTTCAAAAATATTTGAACTTTTTTCAATTTGTAAAACATGAGAAGTTTTAATGAAAGTTGGAACTATAACATAACATTTGTCTATTAACCCCCCCCCCCCCAAAGAATGAAAATTAGCCCTTTATTATTTTCTGTATACATACGTATATACGGAGTAGTATAGGGAAAGTTATGTAGTGCTGTGGAAATCGATTCGAGATGTTCAAACGGATATAACGTTTTGGAGTCTCCCTAATATCATATTTTTGTTGTTTTTAATCAAAACGTCCGTCTGTCCGTCCACCTGCCTGTCTGTAAACTCTACTAGTGCCTAAAAAACACGTAGGATTTTTTTCCAAATTGAAGAAACCTCTGTCTATATGTTTCTAGTCGAAGCTTTCAGATTTTGAAAAACCTTTACAATTTGGGGGTACTTTACAAGAAGTCTCTGGATATTTTCAAACTTTTCTCAAAAACGGCTCCAAATTTTTTCTTTTAATAGAGTAAAATATACTCATAAAGAAAGGTAGGATATGTCTAATTCTCAGGGTTAACTGAATTTTCGACAATTGCAAAAGTTTGAATATTTTCGTGTCTATTATTACAAACTTGTAGATAAGGGTTTTCCCTGCAAATATATTTTCATAGCGAGTTCTTTCATTAAGATCAAGTACATTTTTTATGAAAATTCTAGTAGTTTTCGCGCAATTGTGCGTGCAATATGAGCAATTTAAAAAATAACAAAAACAATATTTTTTTTCAAAACGACTCGATATTGTTTCCTTTAACTTTTAGTAGGGATGATACTGAATGTAGACTTTGTGAGTGTCATAAATATCAGTTAGCTCTATTTTGTTTTTTCAAAATTACAATTTTTTTTCACTTGTCTCTCGCGTCGTTAATATTTACGTTAGCGGCGATTTGTTCATAGTACTATATTTATGAGTTCATGTTCTTTAAATATTGTCATAAAGTTTCTCAAAAACAACCGTTTTCTGTGAAAACTAGCTCAAAATTCCGCATTTTCAGAAATGTTCAAACACCATTTTCTCAAAAAGTCTCCAAGTTTTGTCTTTAAACTTTTCAAACTGTTAATGTGTTGAATTGCACTCTTTAATGTGACATAAAATTCATTTTGTAGTATTTTTTTTATTTATTAAAAAAAAATATTTTTTTTGAAAGATCTCCCACGCCGTTAATATGCACATTTCCAGCAATGTGTAAACCCTATTGTATTTGTGAGTTAATGTGCTTCAAATAACTTCTAATGAAGTATTTCGTAAGCTCAAAAGTAATCTGTGAAAAAGAGCTTCAAATTGCGAATTCATAATAGCGTTTAAACGCTATTTTATTAACAACTTTTCTCAAAATGTTTCAAAGAAAATTGTCATTTTCGACAAGGTTTTACTGTTCTTCAATATTCGTAAAATAGCCATTCTACTATTAGGAAACTCAAATTAAGAACATTTTAACACACACACACAAAAAAAAAAAAAAAAAAAAAAAAAAAAAAAAAAAAAAAAAAAAAAAAAAAAAAAAAAAACACCTTCACCCCTTCGGGTGTCAGGACGTCAACTGGCAAGAGCATGTGGCAAATCCAAATAGCTAGCCGAGACCATAGGAAACAGAAAACAAAAAAGGAAAAGTCTGTGCCATTCTTTCGAACCACTACTAAAGTTTCTCATCATATAACTTGGACATGCTCTGCACTTTCTATCAAGGAATACGTTTTAATTACTCCTTTATCTTCACAAACAGGAACAAAGAATGTAACGAACGCGTACCACGTTGCCATTTTCCTGCATTCCTACGACTTTTCATGTGAATTCTTTCGTGAAGCAGAAAAACATGCGTTTTTTGTCTTCCTTGGAGTCGTAATAGAATCTTGATGCACTTGAAGACTAACTCTTGATGTTCATTTCATCAACACCTATGCCATCACAAGGGCTTTTATGTCATGTTGCAAAGAAATGCCACTCTAAGCTTATTCCAAAATCTTTTTTTATGTAGACAGATATTCAAGAAGTTTATTGTGTTCTTATACTGAGCACTAGTGCAATCAGAGAAGCACAGTATTTTTTCTATGCTCTTGATCTCAGTCAGTCTAAAAATGTACAACGCTTTGTTCAATAGGATGTACTGCATATGTCGTGTTTGAAGCATTCTGAAATCGCAACCAAATGTGTATGCATCACAATGTAATTGTCTCTGTAATAAGCAATAAAAGGGTGCAGTTTGCTTGATCATTATTTCAATGCACACCTTGCACGGAATCTTGAATTATGAAAGAATATTTTTTTTGAAAATCACATAAAATAATAATTTCTCTGTCTGCTAAATTATCTTTGCATTGAGTTAGGAAGGAGGTTTGTTGCTGTGCTAGAAATGGGTGACTTGTTAAAGCTTCTATTTTAGTTGAAAAGTTTTCTAAGAATTCCACCATAGATGACACTAAAATTTCCCAAGTACTTCCGTCAACGTGAATTCATTGCCGATACGTCACGCTGTTAATCATTCTCTCTTCAAAATTTACCTGCAACATTTTTAGAAGTAGTTCTTCTGTTCCAGGACATTTCTCATACTTTTTAAAGTAGCTCTCAGCTCTTGGAGGGTCACAAATTACTTTTGTTAGGCAGTCCCGATAATCCTTCATTGAATAAACATCGTCTGCTGAGGCCTCCTCGTCCCTTAACATTCCCTTTTCATGGTGCGCACAAATATACACTGTATGTGTACCGTTAGCTCCTAGAAAAATGCGTGTTTCGGTCCTAAATCAACGAAATTTGAAAAGCTGAACTTTTGATGCGGAAACTCGTCTTTAAAGTGTCGGTAGGTTTCTTTCAAGTTGCTCAGTATAAGCCTCTTTTGTTTGTGAGTCTTTCCTCCATTCTCTCTCACTGAAATAAAATTATTTTTCCTTTCATGACACGGCTAACATAATCTGAACAATAAAAATTCATAACACATTGGTGTACAGAATTCTCGGTAGCTTTTCGGGATTTCACATGTGGAGTTGTCAATATTCCATATGTTGCTATTAGTGGGTTTGCAACGGTTATCATGTGAGTATTTGCATCAAAATGTTTTTATTTTAGGAACAGACCAATCTTCAAAAATTGTTAAAATTTTAATTTTTATATTCTTATCATCAGTAGTTTCATATTTTTTTAACGTACTAACTCTCTTTCTAGCGTAAGAAGAAAGTCGTGCCCCGGAAAACGGCGAATTTTCGACAAAAAAACTCCTATTGCTGGGGTTGAAGGAAAGGAGTCCCAAAATGATTTATAGACAGACACGACTCTTCAATTTAGTTTTATTACATCTCTATGTTACAATTACTCGAATGCGCAACAGTTTCGGGGATATATTTTCCCCAGGCTAAAAAGAAAAAAGGAAGAAAATAATTCAGTTTGAAAGGTTAAATTACAGTATGTTACATCAGTACACTCGTCATATTATTAAAGTCTTATTTAGTACATTAACAATTATGCAAACCATAAAGGTTCGTTTTTGTCGGTTAAGACAAACAATTAATAAAATTGAGCTTAATAGTTAATACTTTGGTTAAAAACAAATATTATTACAATATTATAAACCAGCACTTACCAAACGAGTCAGGAGCTCATATCACACATTATCAATAAAACACCATCCAGTATAAGCTCTTGGACGTACCATCATGGTCAGACGAAGTGTAGTGCTTAGAGGTCTTGGAAGGTATGAGCTATTGTAAGTACTGACAAGAGAGGGGAGGGCAACGGAGGAGAAGGGAAGAAGGAAGGGGGGTAAGGAATTTATAAAGTGGAAGGGGAAGGAGAGGAAACAAACATTCTCAAAAACTGCTCCAAATTTTTTCTTCAAATCTTTTTCAGTTATGTAATAAGTGCCGATAAATAATATGGTGGTAGTCATTTTTTCGGGTATTGTTCGTTTTTTTTAATTAAAAAAATATTTCAAATCTACAAAATTGAAGATAGAAATTTTAGCCCCAGACAAAGTCTGTTGTACAAAATGAGCTCTTCAGAAATTGTCATAAACAATTTTTTGAAGAAAAAACGAGTAGTTCTGCTTAATGTCTGCTTGACATTAATGAAATAAATACATGTTTCACACCAACAACTTCCATTTATGGCAAAAATGGCACTTTTGGGAATAATTGATTAGAAAATATGCGCCCAACGCTGCATGCGCGCTTTTTTGTCAGAGCTCGACTGAGATGTGTTGATATAGACAGAAATGTGCTATAATATAATTACATAACCATTTCTAAGGGACGAGAAAGTATGTGCTGTTTTAACACCAGTAGTTCTTTAATGTGTTCTTCATTTTCTTGTTTTCTTCTTCTACCTCTTCTAAATCAAATATTTTTGTCTCTAAAGTTTGTCTTATTTTCTCCACTTTTTGACGAAGATAATTTTTTAACTCAATTCCTTTTTATTTAAAGGAGTTTCAAAACAATGTTAAACTTTCATTCAGATGTGATAATTTTTCACTCTTGGCTGGCGAAGCTTCGGCTTCACTCGGAGGTAGATCACCATCATCTGTGTATGACTGTCTTCTTTTGAATTTCTACTGTCGACTTGTACAAAGTTTACTGCGAAATATGTCAAGGGTTCCTTTGAAATTTTTACTTTCATTTATTAACAATTTTGGTTCCGTCTGTATCTGGAACAAATTTACGGCGTAATTTCTATACAGCTGCCAGAAGCTCGTTACACGCACACATACACACACAAAAACAGAATTCTGTGTTGTCGTTAAAAAAGAATGGCAAGTCCAGTGTTTCCTAAAAAAAATTTTTTTTTTGAATAAAAAAATGGTTTAAATATCACGTCCGGGCGCGGAATTCAAACCGGCCGCTGCGACAGCCGTCGACGGCGACGTCGCGACGCGTCGCCTACAGCGAGGAGCATTTCCTGGTTTCTCCGAGAAATAGTCTGTGAGGAAAGCATCGCATGGCTTACACAAGAATACGTGCATAGTATCAAGTGTAGTATCATGATCCTGTGCTCTCTTCAGTCAATCTTTTAAATGCAGAAATGTTCAGGAAATCCAGTTCTGTTTTTATATATAGCCATGGTACGCAGCGGCGTAAACAAATGATGAACATGTTCCAAAATTTATGAAAATGAATTAAACTCTTGGAAAGCTCAAATTATTATTTTAGTCCATATTTATATGAATTAGTGCATTGTGCTTAATATTGCCACCTAAACGATAGTCTCCTGTAGATTATTGTAAGTATTGTTATCTACTAAAATGCATTTTGAAGATAAAATATTTGTTCATGAAAATACCGTGTTTATTGATTATCTCTGAGACCGGGATTTGAATTGATTCTCCTGGAAGCCATTTTCTGAAGCCCCTAACTAACAATAGAGAGCTATAGGCTTCTCGATAAATAACTGCTTGATTTATCTCCGAAATGATAGATAGCAATATCTTCCCCCTCAAGAAGATTGTATCGTTCCCAAATAAAACTATCTGTCGGTACAGTAAACAATTCATGGACTTTCTTAATACCATCCGTCAAACTCGCGCTTAAGTAAAATGAGGTACAGTAAGATGCACTTTTTGCAGGCGCAAAGAATGCATTTCGCTATAACTGCTTTTGCAAAACTTGCAAGTACACTGTTCTCAGTGGAACATCGAAGACGTGACAAACGGGCTCGAATATAACCCATTCTACCCATTGATCTAAGTTGAATGAACATTCTACTCCCTGCTTTCCATGTCTATATGCAAGATGTAAGCATGCCTCTATCTATACAAATCGTGGAGATGTTTCGTGAGGCAGTTGACGGTTACACGAGAAACGTTTTGTTTCATTAAGATTTTCGCTTGCATCGTAGTTAGCAGAGACGAATATAAATGGGCGAGGACCATTTGTTAAATTTAATGGTGTATCGGTGACAATGCCGCATTTTCTCTAAAACGGTGTAATTTAGTAACCTGTTCTGTAGATCAGTGTAATTCAGTTCTCTTGCTACCGAATGATTGTAGTATTCAATTAATTCTTTCTTACCAGTTCAAAGGACGGACTGGAGTTTTCAAGAATGTAAGGGAGTAGAAACAGTATACTTCAAGAAAATTGTAGTAACTTTCAATTTTTTTTCCTTTGTTAATTTCACAATGTGCAACAGTGAAAATCGGCAGACACAGGCTCAGTGCTCCCGTTGATGTGACCTAAAGACCGAGTAGGGTGAACACCGAATATCCGGCGCTCGGCGAATCGCAAGCAACCCATCTACACTACTCGGGATATGCTCGGAATTCGCCGAATGCCGCATGTGTGGAGCGGCCTTACGGTACGCCTGCCCTTTCACGCGACAAGGAAGGACCTACGGACGGATTATTTTGTTACCCAGAATGTCGACCCAAATGTTTATGCTCCATCGTACCTGACGCCTGCACGAACGCGAACACGTGAATTCATCGCTGCCCACCAACGCTCTAGTCGCGCTAGGTGAACGCACCTTCTCGAGGAAAGGTGGATTCGTCAGTCCACAAGAACGCGGGAACTGAAGTCATCTTCATTGGACGTTGTCTAGACAAGAGCTCACTGGTTGTACCGGCCATATTGCAAAATGATGGCCTGGAGATAACACTTTGTGCTCTGAAATCGTGACAGTCCACCATGATGGTGAACATGTATTCTGTTCTCGTTATCCCAGAACCAACTAGAAAGAATTAGCGTCCCATTCCAATTTCAAACATTTATTCTCTTTTACTTTCACTAAAACGTCAAGGTAACCAACGTGAAAGTAACCAATACTAAATACTTTAACCAATATTTAACAAAATTTACCTACAATACTTTAACAAAATCCAATCTTTTATTTCTTTATGACGTTTTCACATTGACGCATGGGAGTATTCTTGGTTTGTGTATCTTTAAAAATATTGTTAGATCAACTTGTAGCAAATAATAGTTGGCCGAAACCTAAACAGATATTATTAAAGTAATGGCTACCTAATAATATCTCATCAATAACATTCGTATCCAGTTTACAGTTTGTCGACGTTCTTTACAACCGAATGCTAGCAATACTTTGGCATTTTCGTTTACAGAGAAGATTGTAAGCATTAGTAATAACAAACAAAAGACACATAAGTAAGTACAAAGACACATTTAACCACGTAAGAAAGTCTATAGGTAGGCGTTCACCGCAGCCAACCTAATGAAAAACGATCGTCACGATTTTCAGCACGTCAAAGCATTGCAGTAGTGCATCCAGCACTAATGTTGAGATCAACAACCGACCAAGTGAGGTCTGCCATTCGCGCGAAATCCCGCACACTGCTCGAAGCTTCGTTCTCGAAATACTCCAACACTTCTTCTTCTGAGACAGAAGAGCGACACACACCTGCATCGACTCTACCGTCCGGTAAAGGCCCATTCACAATGCAAACATAAACATAAAAGTTGAGACTCCGTCCATAAGAACTGATTCACAATGCGTTCACATAAGCCTAACACGTAAGACATTTACTTAAAAGCTCGCAAGCATTTGTGCTTATTCTTAAGTACGACATAAGAAACTAACCAATCACAGAACTATAACTCAAAATCGAGAATCGAAATTGGAGCGAAGTTGATATTATATCCGCAAGTTTTCTTGAGCCCCGGAATATCTACCCCCTCCACAACTTTCCCAACATTAGTTGCATTAAGAATAAATGATAGCAATGAGAGTTGTAGGCAAAATCTGGTGTTTAATGTTGACTCCCGTGTATTAAAAACTATATTGCATGAAAAAAATGAACTACAAATTCGACGTAAAATTTATTTTGTCAAAATAACCAAACTCCCCACTCCTCTCGCATCTAGCGAAGCGAGGGATCAAGAAAACGTGTGCGGATAATAGAACTAACGCCATATGGGCCATTGACACAGTCGATACCAATAGGAAACCAGAATGTCTCACAGCCAATAGACACTTATTTTGCTTACTTTTATGTTAGACAGTCTATCACTAATATTAGTGTTTATGTCTATGCGCTATTCTTACGTCTGTATTGTGAATGGGCCCTAACACTGTTCCCGATACACGTATTCTTGCGATGAGGCGCAGAAAATCGCCGTGGGAAGGGTTGTCTTCTAGTCGGGTACCTCCCGGTGCACATTCGAGTTGTCGCACTGAACACTAGGTATTATCCGCGTAGTTTCTTTAGCCCTCGCTTCGCAAGTTTAAGAGGAGTGAGAAGTTCTGTTCAAAGCGAAGCGAAACCGAGAGGAGGGGAGGCACGTAGGGACAGTACGAGGAGGGGCAATGGAGGGAGCGAGGAATTGGTCGGCCCAGCAGGGGCCATGCCCGTGGCGAGAGGACGCCGCGTCGCAGTCGTGGGCCGCACCCGCCCAAACACTGCGTGCCCGAGGCGAGAGGATTGAATTGAATTCATGCCTTATTTTACGTGGCGAGACTCAGGCCATTAGGCCTGCTCTTTCACCAACTAGCAGAGAAAGGAGGTATTTCTTGGGCGAGCAACAGGTGATTTGAATTTGGCTCATTTAGGATTGTAGATCTTTTACATGTAAGTAAATCTACAAACATGGGACAGCCGGCTTTACTTCCCTTCCGAAGGATTTTTCGCCCTTAAAAATCCACGTCTTCGATCGGGTTTGAACCCGCCAACACGCGGTACAACAGTCCGAAACGCTAACCATTACACCAGGATTGCTCCTCTTGCTATGGCGAGGACGCACCTGCTTCGCTGGGCGTGTCGCCTCGTCACCCTGACGCGCCCTTGGCAGGGATCAGACTCACGCAGCCTACATCGGCCGTTGCCCACCCCTCCTGACCAGCGCGCTGCAGCGTCTGCCCTCTAGGCCGGGCGGAGAATGCTTTTGTTTAGTCGAGCATTGCTCGCACGTTTTTGTTTTAGAATATTAAATTGTCATTCCCGAGCAAATGCACTACACCTGGTGATTTCCTTCTGTCTGAATGGTTACTTTTGCAGAAGCAGGGCCTGCATCCTATCCTCTACCCGGAGGAAATTAAATGGATTTATATTCACCCCACAGGCCTCTACGTGCGGAGCGAGCAGGGCGAGTGTGTCGTCGCAATATCAACTAGGCTTCGGATTTTGGAGTTAAAAGTCTACTTGACTCTTTTTGATATAGTCAATAGAAATTAACTATGAACTTCACTTAATGGCTTCGAAGTGCCTAAAAGTGCTTGTTTGAAATAACTGAACCCACGGAGTACAAATGTGAATGCATTCTTTGACAGCATATCTAAAATTGATATCTACAATTAGTAATTAAATATTCTGGATTCTCCTAGGCTCTTTATGGGTCAAATAAGAGAAACAATGCAAAGTCTAGTATTCGAATATTAAAATGTGCACTAGTAATGAATACATCATTTTATGCGCATAAAATGACAGCGAGAAAAAAGTGATGTCTATTAAAAGTTTTGCACTTCTGAGCTCCATTTTCATATTTTAAATAAAGTTTTTAATAAAAACAGATTGACTTCACCGGTCAGATGGCTGAGATCATTAGGGCAGTAGCGGTCTCGGACCAGAAGACCACGAGTTCGAATCACGCCTGGATGTATTTGAGTATGTCTACAGATGTGTGTTTCATCCCTCAACATCATAATCTCCTTGTTTGTACCCCCTGGGCAAACAACCTTGGCGGATAAAAATTGGGATTCAGCTATAATGCTGATCCCTACTGATAAGATATTTGCACATGCTAAAGCAGGATACACGTGTTGTCCTAGTTGTCCTATATGCAGGAAGGAAGAGAAAAAAAAATGACATATAGAGAAATAGTTATTTTGATGTCAATTAAAATAGCCTCATTAAGAAATCAGAGAATGTTTTCACCTTTGGCTTTTTGAGAACTCTAGAATAGCTTTTTCTCTAAATATCTACTTATATCACATTTCAAGCAAGAAAATATGTGAACTTATGAATATACAATTCTAAAATTGAGAAGTTTACTATATCAGTAGTGTAAATGATTTTAGGAACTTTGAAAGGTATCAATCTATTCAAATCAAGAACATTACAATCCACACTTTATAATCAATTCATGTGATGAAATGTTTTTCATAAAACAAAGTGAAAACAAGGTAAACATTTTATTGGTTCAATGGAAATTACAATTTTAGGTAGTGGCAAACAGATAAAGAAGAGCTTTTGCAAATTGGAATATTTCAGATCCACCAAGTTTTGATTCACCGTACACTCTGTCGACAAATGTTATTGGCACCTGCAACAAAATTTGTAAATGCAATATAACTGCTTACTATTCTAAATAACTGCAAAGATGTGCTGGGTAAAGTTTTGCTGAGAACAAAATTTTAATGCTTTTGTGATGGATGTAATATAGAGAAGGCTGAATGTTCTGCTGATTGGGCTCAAGGCTATGCCTTTACATTCATCAGATCTAAAATGAATTTAAGAGCTCTAGTTATTTTTTTCATTACTTCAATAGCAGTCAAAATTGAATTAGTTAAATAATCTTCAAAAAGGTTATTTTTGCCTATTAATAATTAATCTATATTTTAGTGAAATTAAATTTTTATTTTTTGTCCTTTTTTAGTTTCAGCAAAACATTACCTTGCTGTTTCACAGCATTATGGTGTGCATACAGAGGAAATGAATACCAGAGAAGTTCCTCTATCTTCTGAGCTTATTTCAATCACTATGTTGTCCATGCATTGGAAAGAGACATTTCTTATTGATTAATTGGTCAAAACAAGTTTCATAAATATTCACATGAAATGTTTGACTTATCGTATGCCAAAATATAGTACTACATAAGGAGGAATAAATAAATTCACTTTCCTTTCTTAAAGAGAAAGAAGGAAATTTAATTGTAATGTATTCCTTCTGAGTAGGGAGTAGACTTCAATGTAAATTCATGTTTTACAGGTACAATATACCTTTATTGATATTCAACACTTTTCTATGAGTTAGCAAGACATTCTGAATTAATGAGTTACATTTTTATTTTACATATTATGGAACAATTAACTTTTTTCCCCATTACTAATAATTTCTTACATTACATTTTTAATATTCATACATTTTCAAGTTGAAACGGAACATCTCTGTAGGTATGAGTTTCCCAAATGTATTTCTGGAATAGCCTTTCTGAAGAATGGAAACAATAAATATTGTGCTTCAATGACTTCCAGACCTTCACCGTGGGCTGTCAAACTTACTCCTGCTTATTGGAAATCACATACATGAGAGGATATTTGTGAAGCAGAAGTAATTGAAATCTGACGAATAGTCCAGAATTTTGTATTTTATATTCAATATTTTAGCATTTGTTTGTCTCAAAATACTTGTATTTTTACTTATGAAACCTTGCACAACATGAAAAAAATACTTAATAGCTAAAACTGAAAAAGTTATCATTTTCAATAAATAACAACATCAATTCCCCTCTGAAATAAAAGAATGCTACTGAATTCTCAACTAGTGGTGAAAGATATCACGCAGATAGATGTCTGCCATGTCCATGTCAAATTTTTTCCGTCAGAAATTATTCTTTACAAATCCTAATGGTGCTAAAACAGCATGTACTTTCTTGCATGTATTTTCTCGCAAAAATATTCGAAAAGTGTTCAAAATTTCGAAACATTATACAAGACCTTATTTCAAAATCTATCTTTAAGGACCAGATTTCATTAAAGGAAAAAATGTCTATCTTCATATTTTATTTGTTAGAAAACTTCAAAAAATTTTTGAACTTTTGCAATTTTTGAAATATCAGTGTTTTCAAAGAACATGAGATACTCAGTCTCTTAAACATCCTTAACTCTATTCAACAACAAAATTGGGTCAAAATCAATGGAGACATTTTTTAAAATTTTGAAAATGACACAGATTCTAATAAAGAACCCCCAAAACTAAGTATCAGTTTCAAATTCACGAAGTCACGACGTCAGTTAGATCAATTGAGGAATATCCAATTTGGAGAAAATCAGCTCAAAGGTTTAGCCGTTAACCTGGTTCCAAAATGACCAGGGAGATTTGCCTTCATTTGACTTTTGTATATAAAGGACCCACAAAACATGGATTCTGGTGACACCATGTGTTACAGGATTTCCGCCCAAATTTAAAAATTTAATTTATCCACTTTATTGTTAGCAGAGCTCAGAAATAAAAGATTTTCTGTCACAAATACGCTGTTTTTCCACGCAGCATTTCATAACTTCCTCTCTACTCCATAGTGAGAAAGAAAAATTTACCAAGTAATTGACATTTAGCTAAACTTACACGAACTACAGTATATTTATTTCATTCTTTAAATATTTTTTCTGTATGAAAAGAACAAATATCATATAGATTAAATAAAAAGCAGATAAAGTTCGGTTTAAAATAAATTGTCACAAGTCATTTTGAAGAGGGAGCCTACAACTGGTCTCCCCATTCTGTACGTTAGCCGCTTTCTTGAAAGGTAAGGATTTAAAAGTGAATAAAATTGTGAAGAAACGGGTTCATGTACAGAAATGATACAACTTTAGGAAGTCATTTAAACTGACAGTTTGCATTGCAACTGGAGATTAACACTGCAGAGGACAATGAAAAGTTAGAATTTGAGGGAAAGCTCTCAATTCTTCAGGGTGGTGTTATACTCTTGTAGCTGCCATATAATGTTTCATTGTGTGGAAATTGCAATTTAGGAAGGTTTAAATCGTTTAATTTTGGCAAACTGAGACAAAACAATAAGATGGATGTTATTAGTTTTCTAAAGTGATGAAATCAGTGCTTTCCAGAAACTAATGAAAGATGTCTGTATTTACCATCCAACAGATTTAAGAGAGGAGTTTTCATACTTAACATTTTATTGCACAAAATTCATAGGTAATCATTATGCATTGGACAGACTCACGAATGTTTTATGTTACGAGTAATCTCATTCTCAACTTGAAGACGCAACGCAAATTGTCAACTAAACAGTCAAAGTCATTTCGCACAATATGCAAGTAAAATTGAGTTTACGATGCAAGTGAGGTATGAAGTACACAATGCTCCTATTTCTTTTGTGAAGTATGGAATTACAATCTACTTTATTGGAGGTGTCTCAAAGATAGTAAGGCAGAAGAGATGAGATTGTGAGTGTTTTTCGAAATTTTACAGCAAGAGTATGAGGAGACAAGCAACTGCTTCCCATTTCTCTTTGGCTCCTAAATAGCTCTTCTCCC